AAAAGAATTTAAAATTTTTTTTTTTTTTTTTTTTTTGGAGGATGAATGAAGTACTGGAAAATAGAAATTTACTGGATTTTTCAAAGGCACTTGATTTTTGTGTGAATTATAAAGATGAGTATCCTCTTTTTTTCTTGTTGACAAAAAACAAGAAGGAAGATAGAAAAATGGATTCTAATAGCTGAAAATGGGTTGAATGAATTCTCTCGATTTAAGTTATAGAACAGGTTTAGGTTTTATCCAAACTTATAAGAAGCTCCAAAACAAAATAAAAAAAATATCACAATTCTTTTGATCTGGGAAGCTGGTAAACAAGATAAATACTTTCTTGCTTTGTTTTATTTTTATTTTAAAAGATGATTTTTCACTTTGTGAATTTGGGATGGGCTTACTGTCTTTTTTCCCCCACAATCTTCCAAGAAAAATTTAAATGTTGGATAGATGTTTGTTATTAGGGTGTAAAAATTGGTCTAAATAATAAAGTAATGGGGGTTAAAATAAACAAAAAAAAAAAAAAAGATGGTGTCTGAAACATGATAATAAATCCCATATGTGATATGACTTAACGACAAACAATTAAAATTGATGTCAAATAATTGATTGTCCATTAAGAACACAATGGTCCACTGTCCCAGCAGTTTCAATCACTTAAGGGAAGGCCCAGAAAAAAAAAAAAAAACTATTTTACCTTGTATTAAGTGAATATTTAGTAAAAACAAAAAAAAAAAAAAAATAGTTATAATTGATAATCTCTTATTATAAGATCTCTGGTAAAAATGAATCTTCTGTCTGTCACATAACTTTTATTACAGTCTATTGTTAAAATTATTCTATTCTATTATTAATTTCTTATTGTGTCTAATGGATAAATTAAACTTCAAAAAAAGTATGTGAACATCAGAATAATTATTCTGTGCATTTAGGCAGCAAATGTTCTTTAAGGCAAATACTATTGAAAACGACAGACATTTTATGTTGAATAATTTCATTGATTGTCTTTTCCAAATTACAACTGAACCTTCTCACATGAGGAGGAAATTTGGTCAACAATTGTCCAAAGTTTATTATGTAAGAAAAAAAAAAAAAAATCATTTTCAATAGTAGTTGCCTTACAGAATTATTTATATAATTTCTGTGGCAAAGGGTCCATCTATACAATGCAGGCACTAGATTTTTTTTTTTTTTTACTGTCTTATTTACAATATATATATATTTTTTTCTCTCTCTCATTCCTTAGGATAAATTATAAACAAGCATTTGTTTAGTAGTGCAAGCAGAGAATGCCTCTACTTCATTATACCACACCTGTGCCAGTTGTATTCCCAGCCACAAAATAATTGAATGATCAAGAATAGAAGTAACAAAAAAAAAATAGTGTCTTCCTTTTGAAGATGAACATAGGGTGTGGTGCTGATACTTTCTGCAACAGTGATCAATATATTTATCAAAAAGAAATGAACAAATTTTTTTGTATATATTCAGCCTCAAGTTTCCAAGTCACCCTTCACCACACACATATATATATATATATATATATATATATATATATATATATATATAGGGGACAAAAAAGGAAAAACTTAGCTGACGCTTTTTGTTCTCTGAGAGACTTTCTCAAGGCAAATGTGAAGATTTCATTTTGTGACAAGAGCAAAAATGTCATGGGCTTTTTAAATTTTTTAAATTTAAAAGCACTCATAAATATTCATCAGGTTAGCTGAAAAGTCTAGGCAAGCTAATTTACATTAAAACAAAAAAAAAAAACAAATTCAAGATCGTCATTTACTCAATTTTATTTATTAGACATTGAATTGTGTAACTTAGATTGCCTAGACTTTTTTTTGTAAACATGATGAATATTTAAGAGTGTTCTTAAATTTAAAAGTTTTTTAAAACCAAAACATTTTTGCTCTTGTATATAAATACTTGTTACAAATTAAAATCCTTGCATTTGTCTTGAAAAAGTTTCTCAAAGGATGAAATGCATCAGTGAAGTTTTTCTTTTGTCTTTATTTTCATACATGCAATAATATATATATATATATATATATATATATATATATATAGTGGGTGGGGGTGATTCCTGGAGAGTCTGTCTACAAAACTCTGGATGCTGAAGGTAGCATCAATCAGCTAAGTGATAAACCTTTTACTGTGTGTGTGTGTGTGTGTGTATATATATATATATATATATATAAGTTGATACTCTCCATAGTTTTAGAATAAGGGGAGATAATTGTATTTTGTTTTAACCTTAGAGATAATATTATGATTGCTTTAGATTTTATATATATATATATATATATTAAAAATAGTTAGGGTAAGAAAAGCTGTGGATTATGTCTGATGAAAAAAAAAAAAAAGTTTAAAGCATTGATCATATAAAAGTTAAAAATTATTTTTGCATCTTACTATTCAGACTGACAGCTGGCTTGTCTTGACTGTTGTACTCAACAACCAGGATGAAGCTGCTGGTCTGAAAAGTAAGCAACACTTCTAAAATAAAATGTCTTTCTTGGACCTTACTTGTTAAATCATTTCAAACAGATAAAAGTGTCTTCCATTAACCTCTCAGCTTAAGTTTAATAATCCCAAATAATCTGACAAATTGTTTTATTGCTTTCTCTATCAGAAACTAATCAGATTCCTTGAGAAATTGTTCTAGAAAATAATCCATATGATACATAATGTTTTAATTTCTGCTTGGCAATTTTTCAGCCAAAAAAACAAATTATATATATATATATATATATATATATATATATATAATTATTTTTATAAAAAATTTATAACATAAGTATGTTATAAAATCACTACAAAAATAGCCATTTTGTTTTTCAACTGATGTCTTATCAAGAGATGGATAAGAAACAAATGTTAGCTAAAATTTTTGTAGTGATTTTATAACATACTTATGTTATAAATTTTTATAAAAAATAATTATATCTGCTCTACTTTGTATTGAGCACTCTTTTAAGAATAGTAATTGTTGGTTATTGGAATTCATTCCGTGTATACCAATTATATACTTTGAATATATATATATATATATATATATATATATATATATATATATATAATTTCTTCCACAAAACTTCTTTTTCATGTCAGTCGTTTATTATAATGCTATGCTTCAGAAATTAAATAATACTCTTTGCCTGAGAGATCTTTGTTCTTTTTCTTAATGACAGCCATACATATTTTATCATTGCTTAAAGAAAACCAAATCAGAGAGGGCTTCTATTTACTACTATATTTTTGTTGTCAAACCAGGAAGAGCCAGAATGGATTATTTCTGAAAGCCCAGTGCTACTACATTTTCTATTTTACTACTTGTAACTAAGATTTTTTTTTTCTTCAAAAAGTTACACTGACTTGGCTACTGATGAAAAGAGTCAATTCAAAATTTAATAGCACTTTGCTTTCAAATGGAACCCACTTTGCTGCTGTTAGTTTGTTGATCTACAACTATGGCTGTCAAATCAATGACTTGAACGTTAAATGGGGGGATAAAATTTATTTTTAAAATAGTCATAAATTGATCTCCATCTTTTAGAAAAAAAAAAAAAAAAAAAAACACCAAAAAAACCTTTTTAAAAATTGTTTTGTTGATGTTTAACCTTTGCGTCCCCCCTCCCCCAAAAAACCTCATTACAAAGACAGCTAATTCCCTTGACATTGATTACTGTATATACACTTTTGACTCCCTTGGTGATTATTGTTTTAAAAAGTAATGATTAGAATTTTAATAAAACCCAAACATATAAAAGTGGGTTTCATTCACATTTTCATTTATTCTTGAGAATTTTATTTGCTTATTTAATCTGTTGGTAGATTTTGTAGGCATTTTTATTTAAATTAGCAACAATTTAAAATATTTTCAAAATAGATATTGCATTGTAGTTGGTTTACATATTTTGATTATTTGAAAATTTCTTAAGAATTACAAAATTAAGATTTTCTTATAAAATGCTAAATAATAAATATTGCATTGTGTTTAGTTCACATTTTTAATAAACATTGCCAAGTGAGTCAAAAAAAAAAAAAAGTGGATACAGTGAGTTTTTGAAGTAAAGAAGTGTCAAGAGAATAGTAACTATCTTTTTTGACACCATGAAGGTTAAGTATTGGTTAAACTTAAAAAGAAATAAAAATGAGGCATAATAATTTTCCATATATTTCTCTAGTCTGGAAAACATTATTACAAGCTGTTGCTAGACTGGGTTCAGCATGATTAAATTTTGAATTTCACTATTTGTGACCTTTTGGATGACTGATGAGAAGTAAATTACCAACATTCTCATCTGCATTTAAAAGCAACTGTTAGCCCTGTTTATGACTGAATGATGACAATTGAAATAGAGGAGAAAAAAAATGAAATTTCTAACATAAAGACAAGAATAAAAAGATTGATGCTAGTGAATTAAGAAAATTGATATAAAGATCTATTAGGAACTAATTCTTCAGTGGCATCAAGAGGTTTTAATTGGCAAAAGACTTTTCCTTTTTTAGATTTCAGGATTCTTGTGTTGTAAAGCAGCAAAAATATGCAGGACCTTTTTTGTTTCTTTATTTTATGAAACTACAAGACAAATTTTTTAAAATGAACTTTTGGGAGGAGATTTATTTACAGGAAAATACTTTTTCTCTTTGTAATATTAAATAGTTCTATTCATGAGGGGTAAATCCCAAACCCTCCTTTTATTTTTATTTTTTTTATTTTGCTTTAAAAATATATTCCATTATAAAAGGACTTTTTCACATGACCATTGAATGAAGAATTGTTTGCAAACAGACTTACGAACATTAGTCAAAAAAGGTCGTTCCTACTTTGATGCAATTCAAAAAAAAAAAAAAAAAAAAAAAAAATCACTGATGGGTGGGGTGGGGGGCAATTTAATGAAAAATGTCGATGTTTGAAATTTTTTAAACCTTCCTCCATTTATCTTCCCAAGAATTGTTTTTAATGTAAAAATACTTGCAGAATTATCTCCCCTTCTTTACAATTCCACTTTCGGACTTTCTACATTGAGACCAGCCGTTGGCAATTTCGTTTCTTCCGATTCCTCGTCGTCATTAATCAAAGTGGAATCCTCTGTATCAGAGATATAATCTGGCTCCCCCGTGTAGTGGGTAGGGTAAACGAGAAGCGGTTCAACTGACATGCCAATGAGATTCCGAGGGAAAAAGTAGGCTTTCCATTCTGACCTAAAATTTAAAACAAAATGAAAAAATTAATTTTTTTTTTTTTTTTTAATGCATTCAACATTGCAATATAAACATGAAAAAAAAAATTAAACAAAACTTGCCTATGAAATGCAAACAATATAGAATTTATCAAAGGAAATAAGGACAGTATTAAATATTTCTCTTATTTAGTGGTGTGGAGCTGAGAAGTTAAATTGAGCAGTTGATTTACCCATGCCAAGAATGATAATGAAGAGGAAACACACACTTAACAAACCAAAATAAGGAATTTACATGCTTGAAATTGTCAGTATCTTGTTTCAGGAAAAATAAATCAGAAATTTTTAAAGTCCATAGTTTTAATGAATTGTCCTGAAGAGAAAATGTTCAGACAACAGATTCAAAAATAATATCCAAAAATGTTTAAGACAAAAAGTAAGAGAGTTTGTTGCTCACCGAAGGGATATATGGTTTGCATACATTCAAAAGTAGATGAAGAGAAAGAGTTTGAAATATTTACCTTTCATGGATTGGGAAGAGAAAATTCTGTTTGTAAACCATGTGAGCAACAAACTTACTTTTTTTTTTTTTTGTCTTAAACATTTTTGAACGTTATTTGGTTTCAAATCATTTAATCTTTTGTATGAACATTTCCTCCCTATGACAAAAAAAATGCTGGACTGATTTATTTTCCTGAAATGAGCTACTGACATGACTTCAAACTTGTGAATAAATTTTTTATCTTGTTTTGCTAAAATAACCTGTCTGCTTCCTCATCATTATCCCCCTTCATTAATCTTCTTGGTATAGGTAAAACAACTGCTCATTTTAACCCTTAATTCTACTTTGTCTATGTGGAAATTAGATAATAATCTATATTCATAAGTGTGTGATATCTCATTGACATTGGGACATTTGTTTTAGATAAACATACATTAGATTCTTCAAGAACGGATTCAATAAAGGTTCTGTAATATAATGTTTCTGACGTGCATTTATTTATCAGGACTCTCTCAAAATACTTTTGGCATAAAAAATGATATTCTTTTTCTTTTTTAAATTTGTGTGGCATTTGTAAAATCAAAGTTATGGCCAGTTTTGTTCCTGTGTAGTGTGAGTGAGCTTAAAATCCCTTTTAATAATAAATTATATTTTAGTCGTAGTTACTTGTTTCCTCCTAGACTGATTCTTCTTTACCTTAAAGGAAATAAAATGTGGTTTTGTTCAAAACACAAACACTCTATATATATATATATGCATGCATGCATCATTCTTCAGTTATGAATTGAGCACTCTTGGCACGTATATAATACATTAAAAAATTTCTCTCTCTTTCTGCTGTGCGACAATAGCTTACAGGTAGAATCTGACTGATGCCAAATTAATCAAGTTTTGATCCCAGCTTGAAGCAATTGGATACCTAGCCACACTGATGGGCTGTGAAACAGGCGTGTGTGTGTGTGTGTGTATATATATATATATATATATATATATATATATATATATATATATATATATATTTTCTGTCCAATACCTCTCCTTAAATCAGTATTCTGGCATCACGTTATGAAATAATTAATATTGGAAAGTGGGTCTGGATAAAAACTTTTCAATACCTTTTGTGAGTATAATATATATATATATATATATATATATATATATATATATTTGGTAGCAACCTTTCTTTTATACATGTTTCATTGAATAATACAATTTCAAACATTTCAAAGTTTTTCTACTGTTATTACAGTTTTCCTTTTTGTGTAGAGTCATGGACTGTGTCTAAACAATCTTAAGGATTATTATGACAAATGCTTTTTGACAATTCATTAGCCATTTCCAAAGGTGTATTGTGCAGTAGTTGTTGTGCTAGAAATGTGGTTGTGATTCAATGTTTCTTTTTAATTTTTTTTTATAGACATCAAATTGTCAGACTAATGGAAAAAAAAAAATGAATAAAGAAAATGTATTTATTTTATTTCATGTGGTCTCATTCCTTGTCACTGTACTTAAATCACTTGGGGAATATTAATCACACAGATCAAATATTGTTATAGAATAAAAATTTCAGATCCAAATTCATCTTTGATGATTTCTTAGGTGGAAGACTTTTTATATAGAGGAATTTACTTACTCTGGATGTCTGTCAAACATAATTGGTATAAACTCATCAACTGGTATCATTTTGGATAAAGGGTCTGCATCTAGAAGCTTCTGTACCCCATTGTATGTAATCATGTAACTGAGGGTCCAGTAAGAATAGTTGGGCCAAATCAACATAGATGTCCCCTCAACCTCTGGCTCTGGTTCTCTGTAGAGACGTTTACGGCCAATGTAACTGAAAGAAACACAATAAAAACAAATATAATCAAGTTCAAACATGATTCTATCCTGTATTAAATTTGATGCAAAAAATTTCTAGCATTCCATTAATAACATCTTTTATTCATGTAAATTCATAGATTCATTATTCAGCTAACAAAATAATTTTGTTTTCCTTTCTATGACATTAGGCCACCTTTTTAACTAAATCAGGTCTCCTATTGCAGTTTGGATTTAATATTTTCAATTTGTTGGCCAAAGATTGGGGGGGTGGGAGTTGAAGCCAGTGACATATCAAAGAATATTCTTTATGTTGGTAAACATTTTATTTCAGCTGCATGTCCATTTGTTGTATTAATAATAGGTTGCTTGACTGATTTTGTTTATCAATACCTATGGGTCATTCAATGCTGAAATTTAAATATTTTTGTACATAATTTTATACTTTCAGAGTAAAGGTACGTTTTTTTATATATATATATATATATATATATATATATATATATAGTTTGCAGATCATAAAATGTATTATTGGTAATTTTAGTATTGCACTGATTGTCATTTTGCTATAAAAATCTATTGTTAGTCATTTTATTACAAAAATGTACCGTTGATTTTTGTTTGAGGGTTCACTATTTACCCATAGCTGAGACTAACAGATACTAACAAAACGGGTCAGGGTAGACCTGGGAATAACAGCAGTAAAGAGGTGGTTCCATGCTCCTCAAAACCTCCAGTCTCCTGGTCAAAAGGCTTTGCTGCCAGACATAGTTTATCGTCAGACCCAGGATGATTTCTGGTTGGAACCCGGAAGGAAATAATAATCGTTACCTGATATCTTTTTAATTTTGAAGCTATTCGAAAATATTTTTTTCTCTTAGTATTAGAAAACAGTTAGATTTCTTGAAGAAATTATATGTCATGAAAGTTTTTCATGTTCATTGTTTGGTTGGTTGATTGATTGATTTTGTTTGGAGGCATAATAACACCTCTATGGGTTATTTAATGCTGAAATCTAAATATTTTGTACATAATTTTATGCTTTCAACTACAGATATTTCCTACATACCTTTGCTCTGAAAGTATAAAATTGTTTTTTTAGATATATATTTTGTAGATCATAAAATGTATTCTTGGTAATTTTACTATAAAAATGTATTTTTATATTTTGTTTTAGTGTTGCATTGATTATCATTTTGCTATAAAAATCTATTGTTGTTCAATTTATAAGAATGTACTGTTGATTTCTGTTTAGGAATTCACTATTCACCCATAGCTAGGACCCTAACAAGCGCTACTACCCTGGGAATAGCAGCAGTTAAGAAGTGGTTCAATGACCCCTTTTAAAACCTCCTTGTCATACCCAGGACTCATTGGTAATAGGATGAGCATTAATGTGCAATGACCAGGGAAAAAGTCTTTGCTCTTCCAGTATGTTATTCAAAAAAGCCAATTGCTCACTAGCAATTTTTCCATACCCTAGCTGTTCTCTTTACATCTAAAGGATTCCTTTTAGGTTGAGTTGTTGAATTTAGACTTGTTTTTCTTAATTTTGGATTGTTGTATCACATCTATTTTTTTTTTCAGCACTAATGACTATATTGTCCAGAAAAAAGTGTGTTTAGATTTCTTCCAGAATTTTCAAGCTTTAGGATTTTCTTTTTTAAGCTTTACACTTGTCTCAATAGCAAATCTGTCAGAGCTGACAGTCAACCTGGCTGCTGCTTGTGGTTAAATGGGGCAAGAAATGGCTCATAAATTTTAATGCCTCCAAAACGAAACTACTCTCACTTAATCCCATAGAGAAATTTTCTTGTGAAGTGGAACAACTACATCAAATCTTTTGCTGCATCTACAGCAAACACTGTGTTGTACAAGGTTTTTCTCATCAGAGTCTATCTAGCATATTTACAAATCTACCACATGGCTTTGCATTGAATACTGTTGTCATATCTGGTCTGGCACTCCTGCTATTCATCTCGAGGTTCTTGACAAAATCCAAACAAGGATCTGCAATGTAATTGATCCTGACTTCAACTTCAGTCACTTTCTCACTGACAGGAAGTGGCTTCCCTCCGTCTTTTCTACAAATATTTCATGGAAATGTCTAGGGATAAATTCTAACCTGTAGATTAAATAATGGGTAAATTTTGAAATTCCCAGAAGAAACTCTGAGTGCACAATGGTTGAAATGTTTTGCTAATAAAAGACAGTTGCTTATGTAAATAAAACAATTTAGCCTTTTTTTTTTCTCCATTGTTTAATTTTCAAACTAAACAATTTGTTTCAAATAATGCATAAACAGTATCACAAAATATAATTTCTGATTGCATTATGACATAATTTTGTAGAATGGTTAGCAATGTAGAAAAATAAACTTGAAGAAGTAAGTTAAAGTTATGCTTGTGAGAAAGGCATGAATCTGCTTTCCCCTGCAGCCCATTCCATTTCCAGGTATTGTAACAAAATCTTCCATCACTGGTCTGCCATAATGGCTGATGGAAAAGAGAACAGAGTAGATGAGTAAGCAAACCACTTTGATATAACTAAGTCATTTGTTGAGATAGAATTGACAAGCCTTTTTTTTTCTGCTGAGAAGAGCCAATAAGGTAAGGTGCATAAATTTATGGCTTACAGATCTTAGTTTCTCTTCATAAAAGATGTTTTGAAAAAAAATTGTATTTGTTACTGACAGTTTCATTTTAGTTGTAATTGCTGAATATTCAATAAAGAGGATATTTCGAAAGACACATCCTCTTTCTGAAACGCACTATGTAATTTTGAAGCCACTGTAATATGTCATCTGTTTGTAATATGCATATATAAAATTTTTTTTAAATATCAAGAACAATTTTAGGAGAAGACACTTGAAAAACTGTAGGAAAGTCTTGAAAGACTAAAGTCTTAAAGGACAAAACATTTTCCCACTATGTTATTCTCCTTTATTTATTTATTATATTATATTATATATATAATCTTCTTGCAATCTTTGGATTTGAATTTAGGCCCAGATTAACATTTAAGATTGAAAATAAGAATTATAAATTTTATTTTAAAAACAACTCTATTTTTTGTATGAAAATCAATAATAATATTAATAAAATATTCAGTGATAAAATTAAGATACTACTAAAAATAATACATAACAATAAATTGTTGCTGATGGTAATACTAAAAGATAATGATAATGGAAACAACAGTACCATAAATGTGAAATATATTAGTCTAATAATGACAGTAACAATAGTTATCTATATTATTTTTACTATATAAGATATATTAATAATATCAATACTAGTATTTGTAGCCCCCAGGCCCGGTTAGACTATATTAATCGGGGTCAACATGTTTGAATAGAAATTTGATTTTATGCAAGTAGGTGCTCATTAACACACTTCCCTTTTTTAACAGATTTTGGTTGTTCACATTTTTTAGGATCATTAATTTTTTAGAAAGACATAAATTACATCTGTTGCCTTTTTTGTTGAAAGGTTTAGCTTTTGTTATGCATTCCCAGGCGATAGTTGGGTTTAAAGAAGGCAGTGTTGTTAATATATTTGATATTGCCTAATATCATTTGGTGCTTGTACATTTATCTATATTCATCCATTTGATATATAGGGTAAACTTCTGGCTATGGCACCTAGATTTTATGAATTTGAGCACAGTACTAGAGTTTCTTTTCTCGCTTGAGGAACTCTCTCCTATGGCTCCATGCTTTCCAGTGAACTTTGATTTCCAAAAATTTTCACGCAATGTTGATCGTTATCTTATGTCTTGATTCCTGTCCTTCTGTTGTGCTCTCTCCCCCTTTAATAATGTTTTCTTTTCTCAGATTCTTAACCCTTTGTGTGTGGCATGAAATCTCATCTATTGTCCTCTTGATTGCCTTGGTTGGTTGGGTTTTATGGCATATCAACCACTGTAGGTCATTTAATGTCAAATATAGTACTATTAAACATATAGCTGGCAACATTATTTTTCTGAAAACATTATCTGAGGCCTTGCTGTTGGATGTAGTTTATCGTCATACCCAGGATGTGGGTAAGCTCTGGAAAAAAACTGAGAGTTCACTATTTGCCCATAGCTGGGACCCTAACACGTGCTACCACCCTGGTTCAGGGTGGACTTGGGAACACCAGCAATTAAGAGGTGGTTCCACGCTCCTCAAAACCTCCTGATCAGAGGCCTTGCTGTTGGATGCTTGGGGTGAACATAAATAAATCTAAATATATACAGGGTGTGATGGGTAAATTGGTGTCTAAATACTGCAAAAGTGAAAATAACACTGACATCTCATGTTAACAGATATATTTACCAAAATTACACAAAAATATCTTGAAATACTAAAGAGTAAATATATTCAATAAAATCACCATTGTCTTCAACCTTCTCCTCCATTAGACTTCAGAATCTCCTGCATCTATTTTGAACAGTCTCCCTGTTTAAGCTGGTGAATGCTGCCATAATCTTTGTCTTTAGTTCATCTTTGGTGTTACAAGGATTTTTGTTGGTCTCTTGTTCAACTGCACCTCACACCTCAAGGTGGTTGCAATCTTGGGAGTTGGATAACCAGATGTAAGGAGTGATATGGTCGCAACAAAACCCCATGTAAGACCAAAGATGAACTGAAGGCAAGGATTATGGCAGCATTCATCAACTTAAATAAGGAACCATCCAGAAGAGTCGCAATTGGTTTCAACCACAGCCTCCAGATGTCTTTGGAATCTCTTGTAATTTTATTGAATAAATTTACTCTTTAGTATTTTGAGATATTTTTGTGTAACTTTGGTAAATATATTTGTTAAAATGAGATCATAGTGTTATTTTCATTTTGGGGTAATTAATATGACAATTTATGCATTGCACCCTGTATATATTTATTTGTTTGTTTATTTAAAGCAAGTTCACACCCACTTCCTCTGGAAAGCATGGAGCCAAAAGACTTTTCCACAAGTGAGAAAAGAAACTGTTAGCATAGAACTATTTTGGTTATTATTGGTGTGCATCTCATACAAAATGTGACTATGATTCTTGCTACTGAAATAGAACCCATGTTATTGGAATCATACATTTTTGCTTAAAGAATGAAAAAAATTTCTTACATGAGATCCCAGTCTTCAACAACATAGTCTGCTTCATAGACAACTTTATCCAGTTTTTGCCGGAAAAATGGTTCAAATCTTACATCATCTTCAAACACAATTATTCTTTTGTAACCATTTTCTTTAATCTATCAAGGATTAAAAGAAAAGGAAAAAAAATCATTAAATAAGACTTGAAATTTGTTTTTGCAAAAACATAAAATCTGATCAGTAAGGAAAATATCCACCATTTTTGTTCTAATACAGAATGCGCTTGTATTGAAAATCAACTTTTTTTAAAAATATTTTTTTTTATTTTTAGTTTGCCTGATTAAAATAAGTTCTTATACTTCAAGCTGATGAAGTTCAAAAATCTTCAAAACTCCATCCCACCATTCATTCACAAAAACTTGACAAGTAGGTGACCTGTTGCTTTCCCCCCTATCTTGCCCTCAATAAGCCAAGTGAGTCTCATATTCTCCAAGCCCTCCTTCAACATCCAAGAAATTTCAGTTATCGCTTTCAGATTCTGAGTATAAATGTTGTTTTTGTTACTACAGCAGAATCCCTGACAACCGGACTAAGAAGGCCTTCCAGATATGAGGAATTGGTTACAAAGTCTGGATATATTTGGATAATTTATTTAGATTAACATAAAAGAACTGAAATCAGGTGTAACATTTATTTTCAATGTTTTATAGTAAACAAAATAAGCTAATGGTGAGTGAAATATAATGCAATTGATTTTAAGGAAATAGAAATAAATTATGTAATGTTAATGAAAATTCATTAAATTGAGTATGCCACGTAGGCAAAAGAAATAATGTAATGAGGATTTTTTAATCCCTGTTACATGATGATTCTTTCTCTTCTAATGTCATTCTCAAATTTTTCTGCATTTTGTTTTGCTTTTGTTCTTGAAAATTTATAAACAAAAGACACTTTATAACTGTGTGTGCATTATTGCAGTTGTCATAGCTGAATGCTGGCTTTCTTTTCATAAAACTGAATAGCTTTTTCAATTTCAGTCCAGGTTTCACCACAATCATGTTTTTATTTCCTTGTTCATTGTGACAGTGTGAATGCTGGAGAATAGTTTCTTTGGAAGATTTTATCATACAATATTGACTTTCCTATATTGCACTCGACCATCAGTTACAATGATCTTTTCACCAGTGTCTCGTCTGTTTAAAATTTCCACTTTTTGCAATAATTCCAAAGTTGTTCTTTTCCTCTTATTCTCATCATCTTTTGCATGAATACAAGACATTAGGGTCAAATAAGCATAAGCAATTATCCAAAATTATTCCTGAGAAACAAATTTCAAATCAGTTACATATACACATCAAAATTATGAGGCACTCTACTGTATTTTCCTTAAGACTTCTTTGTTGCTTACATAAACAACAAAGTTGTGAAGTTAAGGCCACAATAATCAGAAATGTAGCTGGTTAGCAACTTTTCTTTTCGTAGACTGACTGCTCTTCCAGTGAGCAACCTTTTTTTTTAATATATACTAAATTGCATCCAATACAAGGCTTGAAAGCCACTCAAGCTAGAGTTACAGTTGAAATGGCAATGTTGAATAAGGTGTGTGCTATGAAGAGAAGAGGAAATGATAAGAATGAAGATTATGAGGATAAGGTTAAAATGACCCTTGACATAGAGAGGTCAGGAGTGAAGTGTTCAGGAAATCAGTCACGTAGGAGTCTGTTCCACAAATTGGCAGTTCTTGGGTGAAAACTGCTTGAGCAAGAACTAAAATGAGTGTGTCAGATTGTGGCAACAATTTATAAATAGCAAGTTGGAATTGTTTTTGCTTCGAGAACTTTGTAGCTAATTGAATTAGCTAACCAATGTGCCCCAATGTGTCAAATAACATAATTGACTTTTTTTTATGTATATATTTAGAAAATTTAATTCAGAACGAAATTTGAAAGCACTTACGTCTTTCCAAATGAGATAGTGACTAAGAAAACATCCAATTTCACCCATTGTCATGTCTCTGGAATAAACAAAGAAAATAATGACAGAAAATACAACAGAAACTGAATTTCTCAAATGAGGAGTTATCATTCTTTACAGTTGCATTAATGTCCTAATCTTTGGCCGAAACATTTGGTGATAGTAACAACAATGTTCCCTCTGGCCTTCTTCAGGTGCTTGTTATGTTGGGTAATCTTCATTTAAAAATTCTTTTTAAGGTTACAAAGAAACGGGAAATTTCTAAATGAAGGTCAAGATGTGATATGAACAAGATGGTGTCTGAATAGAGAATTTGAGTAATTATGAAAAAATTGAGCAGAAATCAGAATAATCATAAAATTAATTGACAACACTAAAGAACAGGCTTTAAAACTGCCACAAAAAAAAAAAGATTGCAGAGAAATTAAAAGGAGTCATATTTAACAAAATTGAAGTGATCAGTAAAAAAAAAAAAAAACGAGGCTGGTGTAGCAATGTGAATGCAAATAGGGAGAAATCAGCTTCAGCCAATCAGCTTTTTTTTTAAAGCTGGCATCACAAAATGTCTTAAGTTGGCTGTAGAATAATGATGATTTCTTTTTTTCCTTTTGAAGGCTGAACTACATAAACTGAACATTGATGAGAATAGTCAACTTAACAAAATTTAGAAGTTACTGGTGGGAGGTGGAATGTTTTCAGTTTGTATTCTAGACAGCAAAATTATACATTCCTTCAAAGTTGTGGATGATGCCCAGATAAATGTACAGAACTATTGATAAAACCTAAAACTATAAATAAAACTGTCATGAACGGCGTTGTCGAGAAGATGACTTACCTGCCATGGTAAGGATCAGCATAGCCAGGAAGTTGCTTCACACCAAGTTGTTTCAAGTAACTTTCATTGAGAGATCTGGAGACATTAAAAGAATATTAAGATTATGATGGCCAGAAATGACAAACAGATATGAGTAGTTGTAACTTGTGCTACTGTATACAGATAAATGTAGTAATGCAATTTGTCAGATGTTATTATACAAGTCAATATATGAACAATATTATTAACAAAGAGGCAAAGTTTAACAAATATAAATGCCAAAAAAAAAAAATATATATGGTATGGCAATGGGACAGTTTTTCTCTTGACATTTTTCTACTGTATATTCCCTCGACAATTTTTGTTGATGTAAAAAGCTAATTTTAGAAATGTAATAAAATCCAAACACCTGAAATTGAATTTTATTTATTTTTCTCAGCTCTCAATCTATTTTAGCGAATTTATTTGGCAAGAGTATATGAAAGAATCGCCTAGAAAATGCATTTAAAAAAAAAAATTATTACATTTAATTGTTTTTATTTAGATTTTTTTGTTCTATAGTTCAAATATTTTTATGCATAAGAAAATTTAGAGATTGTGACAGTTATTAAGCAGATGTGTTTAAACATTCTTGTACATGTAGTTATGGATAATATTATACATTAATTACTTTTTTTTTTAATTAATAACTATTTGTACTCAGTTGTTGATATTAATAGCTATCTGCTGATGTTAAAAATTTGGAATAATGCAATAATAAAAAATTTAAATTTCATCTCTGATAAATGTTGTGATCTGTTAATATTGATTTCTTTTGATTGCAAAGCCCATGGTCCATCACAGTTGTGGGGTCACTATATGTACTGCAGCCACAGTAAAAGTGGTGTTTCTTGGGCAAGATAGCCTGACTGAACCCAACCCTCTCTAGGACAGTTTTCAATTCAAAGTTACTTTCTCCTAGACCAATTTCTATCCAAGGCTATAGAACCCAGTCCATTCTGCTATTTACCCATAGCTGGTGGTGGGAGAAGGAGGATTCATACCTTTCCCAACAGTATTAGCATGTAAGTGAATGTAATGGGTCCAAATGGAATTCAAACTCAGCTCTCAGATTCCTCAATCCGAGCCACTATACATTACTCCACTGTGCTGCCATACATTTATTTCTTTATAAAATGGTAAATAATAAATATTGCATTGTAGTTGGTTCACATATTTTTATAATCTTGTAAATATAGAATTTATGTTTGCAATTAAACAATCTCATAAAATTAATATTTTGTTGTCAATTCTCAAGAAAAATGAAGGCAAAAGTCCAGTTGCATGTTTGAGATTTATTAAAATTCTAAAAATAAGAATTGCCAAAGGCAAATACAGTAATTGCAGTATCTAGAGAAAAACTATACTTTTGACATATTTTTTTTCTTCTTCCCAAGGTTGTTTGTAAAACTTAGTCAACCAATCAATCATGTAAGTTTCAGCTGTAAGTTTCTCCTATCTATCTTAAGTATTTATGAAAACTACTTTAAGGGATGTCGTGTTTTATCATGCAAAGGAAGTACAGTATAAATATTTATAAAATATGTCCAAAAGAAATCTAATTAATTCTGGTATATCAAATATCATATTAATGGTTATGCGTTGTCTTCCTCTGTCCTTCTTGCTTTCAATCTGTCCTGTGTGTATCACATTTTCCAAGCCCTCTTTCCTAATTATTGCCTTAGAAATTTCAACTGACTTATCCTGATGTTATAAGTGTCCTATTTGTTTCCCTTTTACTCTAAAACTTTGTGGTTGCTCACATGTTCATGGTATTCTCATCATCCTTCTGTAGAACCACATTTCTGTTGCTTCAAGTCCATTCTTCATCTGTGCAGAGATTGTCCATATAGGAGGAGTAATATTACATAACAAATGTTCAGTACTTTTTTCAGCAATCTTGGACCTTCCTGCCCACTAAAAATGGTGTGTCAAATGGATAGATTTTCTTTTGACATCACTATTATTTTAACCATCTTCACTCTTCAGCAATGTTTAGATTTTAATAAAACTTAAAAACATGAAAGTGAATTTATACATTTTCTTTGTTCTCAAGAACTTACAATAAAATAATAAACACTATTATATTGTTTGAAATGGTTGATAAAACAGCGGCTTTTTTCCAGTTGATTTGGACTTTATAAAATGGTAAATAATAATCATCTGCTTGTAGTTGGTTCACATATTTTAATAATTTAGTAAATGTTAAATAAATTTATTAATAAAAAATGTTTTCATATTTATTTCTTTATAAGTTGGTAAATGATAAATATTGCATTAGTTTTAATACAATAAGTTTTTAGAATGTTGTAAATATAAAATTATTCTTGTAAATAAACAGTCTAATAAAATAAATAAATACTCTGATTTTTGTTGTAAATTCTCAAGAACAAAAATTCACTTCAATCATATGTTTAGGTTTTATTACAATTCTAATCATTGCTTTTTAAAACAATCTTTGCTGAGTATGGAAGGTAATTAAAATAATAGTGGTTTCAATGGGGAAAACTGTCCTTTTGGCACTTTTTATTTTTGTAGGTATGAAGGTCCAAGATTGTCCAGTTTTCTTTGTTTCTAACAGAATTCTTCTGTTTTTTATTACTTTGCTTAGCTTTTGGAAGACAGCTTTCTGTTAAAACACTTCCCAAATATTTAAATTGTTGTACTTGCTTGATTATGGTATCTCCAATTTGTAATTTGCATGTTGTGCTGTTTCTTTTGCTAACAATCCCATGTATTCTGTCTTGTTGCTTTCCTTCCCTACATTCTGTTAGAGTTCTTGTAGTTTTCTTTTTGCATCTGCTAACAACAATGTGTCATCTGCCTATCTTATGTTGTTAAGATTATGGCTGCCCCAATAATGAATCTCTTGGAATTGGACTCATTTTATTGGTTGAATGTCTTACACCCATTTCTCTTTTGCTTTTGTAATAAACATCAATAATGTCCACTCTAACAAGATGATCAAAAAAACTTTGGCAGATTCTTACTGATTTTAAAACCTTTGAAAATATATTACTTCTACTCACTTTCCATCAACTGCATCGAGAAAGTAGGCATCAATGCCGAGTTCTTTTAAGGTAGCAATCATTTTAATTCTTCTCTCTGGGCGTCGGACGAGGTTGATCACATAAACCTGAAAGAAGGGGAGAAAAACTATGAACAAGGAGAAGCAAACAGAAATTACTCTTCATATTCTCTGTAGTCTGAGAGACATACCGTAAAAATTATTGGATATTTTTCTTTGTATTTATTTAAAATGCCATCTTGACAAGACAGTGATATATTTTTTCTCATCCTTAAAGTTCATTACATTTTTTTTTATTTTTTTTAAGAACGTTTCTTGTTTTTGGCTGTAGAGAGAATAAAAAGAAGAAGGTTTAAAGATCTGACCTTTAACCCTCACTGATGGCAGAAATATGAAACTAGTTCATGGATTGAAAAAAAAAAAGATGCAGTAAAAAGTAGAATCAGTTTTCAACCACTTCCCAAAAGGTGTTTATATTTCAAATCTAGAAAACAAAATTTCTGACAATTGCAAAGTATTTTATACTATTTTTATTATTAATATGCTTAATGCAAATTATTTCCTATATCTGTTATAATGATGTGATCTCAAAAAATGACACACTGTAGCAAGAGTTTTGCTAGCACAATACTGTTAAATCACTCTAACTTGAAGAATAAAGTAATTTCCAGCAGCTTAATAATTGTGGGGTCTGCACTCATGGACATTATGATAAGTGACCCAATCTGGGGTTTTTGTTACAAAAGCCAAAGAGGAAATCATATGAAGAGATTAATAGGATTTTTGGGAAATAAAAAAAAATAAACATTTAAGTTTTCATATATAAATAATTTTTTTCTTTCCTAAAATTTCATTGGTGTAATTATCTGGCAAAATTTAACTGAACATGCAAAAAAAAAAAAAATGAAGTGTCAAAAGTACATTTTTTGTTCTCTTTTTACACTGCTATTACTGTGTACACCTTCAACAATGTTTATTGTTTCAAAACACTATGTTTAGAATTTTAATAACAGCAAAAATGTTCCACACTATTTAGTTGTTAGATTTTTTGTTTACATAATTATAAAAAGACCTGCACCAACTTCAATGTAATATTTATTATCTACCATTCTATAAAGAAATATGAAAAAAAATCTTTTTATTCAAAAATGTCTGAACTATCAAACAAGAAAATTTAAATAACTATGTTTTTTCTGGACATTGTATGTTTCCTTCACAAATTAGTTTGTATCTTGAATTAGTGTTTGTTTTAGTTTTCCTTCTATTTTTTTTCATTTATTTTTTAAATAATCTAGGATCCTGGCTACTTAATCAAGAGAAATACTTGGCAAAAATGACAGTCCTTCTATAATTATATACAGGGAAAAACTTTTCCACTCAATGAATAGGGAGATATATATTGAAAAATATTGAGTGTTTGTGGTCTTATCTAAAATTAAAAGAATGTTTGATTCTGAGGAAGAGATGCTCTCAAATTATTATTTTAATGAATTTATGTGGCAAGAACAAATGAAAGAAATGCTTTTTTTATAATTAGTTACTTATGTGTTTATTTAAATTTTCTTGTTTGAAGACATTTTATAAATTTATGAATAAAAAAAATCTTTCATATTTATAAAAATATGTAACATGAGAAATAATCTTTATAAAATGGTAAATAATAAATATTTCATTATAGTTTGTTCATATATTTTTACAAATTTATGAATAAAAAATTGTTTTCATATTTCTTTCTTTTATAAAATGGTAAATAATAAACATTGCATTGTTGTTGGTTGACATATTTTTATAATCCTGTAAATATAAAATTATTCTTGTAAACAATCTAACAACCAAATAGTGTGGAACATTTTTGTTTTATTAAAATTCTAAACATAGCTTTTGAAAACAATAAACATTGTTCAAGGAGTATAAAATAATAGTTGTATAAAGAGAAAAAAAATGACTTTTGACACTCATTTTTTTTTCATTTTCACACTACATTCACCTCCATTTCTTTCTAAATTCTAAGCATGTATATTCAAAAATCATTTCACAGACTCATGTTGATTAGGGATGATTAGAAGTACAAGTAAAGCTAAATTTGAAATGTAGTTTGAATTTGGCTATTTACTGAGTAGTCATTCTTAATTTATTTATAATAAATTATAATTTATTACTATATATTATAATATAAAATCTATAAATCACAAATAACAATTTTCCTAAATTGTAAGCAGATATTTTGAAAATAAATCTTAACATTAGATTCCTGCTGATTAGGGATTAGAAGTACAAGTAAATTGAAATTTCAAATGTAGTTAGAATTTAGTTAATTGCAGAGAAGTCTCCTCTTATTGATTTATTAACAGATAATTATAAAAATAAAAATTCCCTTCTGCTAATTAGGGATTAGTGGAAGTACAAGTAAATTTAAATTTTGAAAGTAAACAGGATTTGCGTTAGGGCCAAGCTACAGTTCACTATAAAGATAAAATTCCAAAGGGGGGGAAGGACTTATTTTATGATCTTCAGATTCTTTCCAATAGATGCAATATTGGAAGCCTATCTCTACCCTATTTCCATTGCAAATATTCCGACGAACACCATTTCAGACATTTACTGCTAGGACATACTTTCATGGTAGTAGAATGATTGTTCCAAATGTAAGAAGAAAGTTTCTCTAAGAGTGCTTTTCCCCAAGAACTGCCATTTTGTAGAACAGGCTCCCACATGGGTGCTTTCCTGAACACTTTAGGTCAAAGGTCAGTCATTATTTATTTTCCTTGTCTGCATGGTATCCATTTTCTATTTCTTTGACTTCTGAATATCACTACCTCTTTCATTATTACCATTTTTACTGCTACCTTGAATGCCTCTCAACTCTTGTATAGAGGGATATTAATTTAAAAAAAAAAATTCTAGAGGCATGATACAGTTAAATCCATTCCCAGTATCCAGAGATTACAGATGAGTTTGTATTTTCTTTATCATTTCATGCTACACAAATTATTACTGGATATGAAAGAATCTGAAGAAAAAAAAAGCATCATTAAGTGGAGAGAGAGGACAACAAAAGAACAGGAATCAAGATGGAAGATAATGATCGACATTGCATTTAAATTTTTGAAGATCAATGTTGAGTGGAAAGCATGGAGCCAGAAGAGTTTCACAAGTGAGAAAAGAAACTATTGGTATAGAACTTAGTTATATCTAGCAGCCACTTCAACTGTAAAATGATAAGACCTTGCTACCAACCTAATATTATACTTAAATTTATAAAGTTTAGATAACATAGAGGAAAGTTCATCAGGACAATTACCATGAAAGTATTTATAGAAAAGACACAAGGAATCTGTTATGGCAGTGGGAAAATGATTAAAGATGAGATGACAGGTCAGGACCAATAACATTGCTGATTCTTCTTTGTATTTTATCTCAAATCTCTAGATGCATAGTAGAAGCACCAAATATTCAACGCAAGGATGAATAGAAGTCTTATAAATGTGTAAAATTGATTCTGGCAAGAAAAATTGTCTAGCATGACATGATGAACAAACTTTCCTAGCAATTGATTTGATATAATCATTCCATTTCATTATCAGTGGCAAATGTTACACTGATAAGGATTAACGGGTCACTTTCCTGGAGGTTAGCATTAGCTATGCTGATAGATGGCAAAAAAAAGGTTTTTTAAGACCATTAAAAACACAGCAGTTTTGTTTTGGAGGAGTAAAAGATAAAATTTGCACTTGATTAAAATTAAAAGTATGAGTGAAGAAGAAATAAGGAAAAAAAATTGATTTGACTGATGACCTGATCAAAACCAAGCTTGTCCGGCTTCCGTTCAGGAACATGGATAAATGGCGACTTGCGAAGTGGGGGCTCGTAAACTGAAACAAAAAGAGAAAGAAATCTAAGGATCAAATCAAAGTGTTTAAAAGTAAAACATAACAGTAATAACGTGGAAAAATAATTTCATATGACATTCATTGAATTTAAATCCTATTTCTAAAATTGTCTATAAAAAGGCCTAGGAAAGAAAAACGAGTAAAGAAAATGTTTTCAATAAGAAAAACTTTGAAGAAAAATTGTTTCTCACCTAGCATTTCCAACTTGATATGAAGAAATTGTTCGACTTCATCTTCCAAAGTGTTCTTGCCATCGAGTGGGATCATAATGTGGCCAAAATATTCAGTGTTGAGAATGTGCATTGTCATACCTGCAATAAGAGAGAGAGAAAAAAAAAAACAATTACAGCTCAAGATTCAGTGGAAATAAAAACAAAAATCTTCACACTCCATTACAATTACTGTTTTTTTTGTTTTTTAAATAAATTTTATCTAATACAAGGCTCAGAAGCCACTCAAGGTAGAGCGTTACAATTGGAATGGTAATGAGGAATAAGGTGTGTGATATAAATGGAAGAGAAGGTAGTAGGAAAGTGAAGATTATAACAATAGATAACTACTGCCCCCCCATCTTGATGAGATCAAGCTTCAAGTGTTCAAGGAAGCACTCATATGGAAATCTGTTTAGTGACATCACATCTGAGGGAAAGAGGCTGCAGAATGAGAAATAAGCCATTCCTCATAAAACCTCAAATGATTTTGAACACTGACAATACTGGACAATGAGGCTTGAGTACCTCCAGCTCAGATATGGCAGCAATACTCTGTTTTTGGTTTAATCTGACTCTTGGAAAGATGAATCATAGCAAGAGGACTGTCAAAGCTGTAAAGTTAAGATTGGGCAGCTCCAGCCCAAATATGGCAACAATAATCTGACTGTTGTAACAGTAAAGCATGTAAAAAATCAGGTACTTTCTGGAATGTTACAATGAGCCGACCATTTTGCCAGCATATTTAAGAATTCCACTTGAGATCTGAAGTGAACTTGAATCCCAAGAGACATTCATCGCATGGAGCCTCATTAAGAGTGCAACTGCTCATTGTAACTGGAAAAAACAAAACTGGTTTGATCAATGATGATAAAATGATCCTAGATTGTTTTCTGAGGTACTGAAAATGACAAACAAATTATTTCCCCATTGAGCTGTTAGAGCTTAGCCAGAGAAGAGATCAGCTGCAAGGCTCAGATCATCTTGGTTTCTGGAAGTACATCCATAAACAGTGACATCATCTGCACTGATGTTTATTAGTGAACTGAGAATGCTGTGCAGTATAAAAGAAATTCACCAGTAATGCTATATTTTCTTGTGCATAACACGAGAAATTTTGAATGAAAATTAAAAGCAAAAGGTGGGGGGGGCGTATTATACATAAATATACATTTCAGAAATCTTTTTACTCAGTTTAAAAAACTTCATATTTGAAACAGCAAAATTTCAAAAACTCTCAGCACAATGAATAAAACACAAAGTAGTCAGGTATTGATAACAATTGTTTACAAAAGGTATTTGAAATGTCGGCCATATTTGTTTCTCTCTTTATTCTTAATGAAAGACAATATTTTTTATTTTCATAGTTTATCATATTTCTATATATTAATAAAGTCATATCAAACATAAAGGTATGATAGATTAATTAACATCTTTAAATGTACTACCAGGTTTGTCGAGTTTGCACCTTTCCTTGAAAATTCAAGAGTTTTGACACGGAAATTAGGACAAGAAACACACAATGGTTAAAACATCCGGTTCATTTCCATTCTTTCATATTGTGAAAAATTAAATATTTTTGTGAAATATATGACACTGAGATTTTAACAGATAATAGGGTCCAGTTTTTCAAAACAAATTTACATAGGGATGGCTGTACTCTTTAGATCATATTATACTCAAGGTTGTAGTTTTATTTTCTGTTTTTAGCTTCAGAAACTTGAGGTTTCACACACACAAAAAAAATACAGTACATGAATAAATCAATGGTTCAGCAGATGTTGTTTATTTCTGATCTTTGTCCTTTTACAGCCTTGTAAAAACAAGTCAGAGAGTTGTGATAAAATGCAGCTGAAACTTAGGCAAAAGAAAGTACAATGAATGAAACTTCAAAATCAAAAATCTCAAGTATTCCATCTTAGAAATTGAAAAATCTGTAACACTTTTGCTAAAAGAAAATATTCCCAACTCAGAATTTGGGGCATGCAGTCATAGGTACAAGTGATATACAAGTCAGTGAATTGAATACAACTGAATCATGACATTCTAAAAAGCAAAAACACTCAGGATGAACAATCGAGATTGGCATTGAGTTACTGGAGGTGGCTTAATGATGAATTGGAAAGCTAGTTGCCAAAGACAGATTTTTTTTTCTCTTATCAATCAATTGGTTATATAAAAACTGATTTTGGCAAAGTGTGAATCTCTGAAAATAGTAATGGAGTCTGAAAATATCCAGTCTCCATTAGAGACAGACATTTTGTTGGAGTTACAAAAGAACAACAATTTTGTGTGTGTGAGATATATATATATATATATATATATATATATATATATTTTTTTTTTACACTAATTTTATTCAGATTATTGTCTTCATCTTTTATTGAGAACAATAGTCTGAATGTAAATAGTTTAAATCAGGTATGTCATACACGTGGCCGACACAAAAGATACTAATTTGATCATTTAATGTCCAAAATTGCAGTTTTCTAGATTTAGAAATTACAGTATTTAAGAAAATAAATCCCATGGTTTTTACATTTTGATTCATTTTATTAAATAAGAATACCATTTATTGCAAAAATATATTTAAAATAATTTTAATATTATTGACAAACTTTGTTATTACAATACTAATCTATTATTTTAAAAATTGTAGCAAATATTCAATATTCTTTGTGTCAGAAAATATTGTGAGAACAAATTCTCTCTAGTAGTCATGCCACCAGCTATCAATCACATCACAAAAACAATATGGCAGTTCATTAACAGTTGTAAACAGAAAACTTTCTTTCAAAATTTCAAAACATTTTGCTTTTAAAAGTGAAATGTCAGCCAAAAAGTTTTCGAGGTGTTATGAAAATTGCTTTATTTCTTTTTACGATTAGCTGTAGTTTAAATGTACCAGTAATTTTTCAGATTGTGTCATCAATTTTGAAATTTACTTGTGTTTTTTTTTCTACTACTTCAAAGCCTAAAATGGCAAAAGCACACCTCCAGCTAAGAGAAGACGGAAACTGAACAAAGAAGGGTGAATGTTCACATTTCTGTTGCTTTCAGTTTTCTCTTCATCCATGGCTGGACTGTCCAGAATTCCCTGCCATATAAGAGGATGGATATCACAGAATAATCCAGAAGCTTTTTCTTTGTTTGAGATCAAATATGTACTAAGAATGGTATATAGAAATGTAGTACCCTTTTATTATAATCACTGAGTTAGGTTCTAATTCAAGTCTTGTTGGTTGTATTTTGCAATCCCAAGTCTGTAGCCCATTAAGGTTGTAGACGCACCATATATGCTACACATGCAGTAGCAGTGGTATTTTCTGAGCAAGATAACCTGACAAAGCCCAACCCTCTCCAGGCTGGTTTAAATTCAGTTTTCCTTCTATTAGACCAGTTGCCAACCATGGCTATAGAACCTGGTCTGTTCTGCTACTTACTCACAACTGGGATTGTGGGTGGGGTGAGAAGAGATGGATTCATACCCTTTCCTAAGGGTATTAGCATGCAAGTGAATGTAATGAACTTGAACTCTGATCTTCAATTCCTCAATTCGAGCTGCAATCTATTACTCCATCGTAACTCCATCCAGTTTCCTTGTGTTTACTTTTACATTAAAACTTTGAGAAATGCATAAATCCATTTTTCCCTCCCCTTGAGTTATGGGTGAAATAGCAGGGTAGACAAGGCTCTTTATCGTTGACAGGCAGTATGGCCAAGGGAGAACATCTTGATAGAGCAAAGTTTGAATTACCTATTTAAGGAATGCATGTCTTCTGATCAAGGAGCATTATCATTTAGAAACTATACTGTTGTTTATGTTCTTTGGTTTCAAAAATTGTTGTAAACTAAGAAAGGTTACTGAATGAGGAATAGACAAAACGGAGGTTGGAAATGGAATAGTAATCTTTATAACATCAACAAAATACAATACTCGCCAGCAGCATGAAGTAGGTAAACCACTGCTAGTGGCGGACTACTTAGACAGCATATTACCCCCAATTAGTGTTCATAGGTATGGTATATAACAAAAATGAAGCTAGAAATTCTTAATGAGAGATGTACTTCTTGGCATATTATTCCAAAAAAAAGAAATTAATGTTGAGGTTCCAGACCAGAAGAATATGATCAGACAGCTACACACACGCACACACACATACATTTCTCCCCTTGAAAATATATATAGTGTATCAAAAAGTGGGAAAAAATTTTTGTGTGATGTGTTTCATCCTTTAGGACATCGTTAGGAAAAATTTATTTATGTTGGTGTGATTACACATGCATACCAATGAGGGATGCTGGGAATTTGTAATTTAATTTTTTTTTTTTTTTAAACTAGACAATTTCATTTAGATTCTTAGAAATTTTCACCATTCCTGGCAGAACTTCTATTAACACAATGTGAGATATCTAATAACAAAAGGGATGGAAAGAAAAAGAATCTAAATGAAATCACTTTTGGCCTTGTGCCACATTTTTGTATTTTTGAAATAAATATTAATTTCCACTACGGTACCTAGACTTTATGAATTTAAGTGCAGTACTAGATTGGCAGCAAAGACTCATCATCTTAAAGTTGAAATGGCTAGATGTCGATTTTCCAGTCAAATTTGATATTGAATAATTTAAATGCAATGTCAATCATAATCTTCTGTCTTTTTATTCTTTTCTCTCCTTAATAGTATTTTTCTTTTATTCACATACTCTCTAGCACCCCTTGCGTCTTATTAGCTTTATTGCCTTGCATGAAGTGAAATGATTAAAAGACAGATTGAATCTTATGAATTGACAATTTCAGAGTAAAATTTAGTTTTCAAACTGAAAACTATTTCATTTATGCTCATATAAGACATTGAAACCATATGAATTATATGGCAAAACAGAATATGGTATATAAATTTCAATATATCAGAATGATATCTGGCAAATGAATGACAAAATGGAAAACATTCTGTGTAACACATTTTATCCTCGAGAAGGACTGCATCTGACTGAAATTACATTTTTGATGATGGAATTATATATGCTTAGGTGGGGCATATATAAAAGCTCAGTTATGCACTGAGAGGAAATGCTGAAGATGTTTGGGTACTGAAATTTAATTTTTTTTTTTTTTTTGTTTAATTAATAGAAAGCAATTTACTACGGCAAAAGTGTATAGAAAGTGCTTTGATTGCTAGAACATTTACATTAAATTTGTGTCCAGGCTTGGTAGTTCTTCTATTACAACAATGTGACACTTAATAATAAAAGTGATAAAAACAAAAGCATAAGAAAACTGATTTAAATTGGTAACATGACTTGCCCAGATATGTCTCGGTATATAAGTCAATGCTCACTTTTTTTTATATGTTCGCCCTGCCCTTCCTGCACATATATAATTCCATCAACAAAAATATTTTAGTCAGATGAAGTCCTAGAGAACAAAACACATTAAATAGAATTTTTCCCATGTTGCCTATAACTATATCTCTTTCTCTCACTCAACTTATATATATATATATATATATATATATATATATATGAGAGAAAGAGAGTTTGATTTGTTTTATGGCATATCAACCTCAATGGGTTATTTAATGCTGACAAAATTTTTATTGCTGCTAATGTTTTTCTTCAAAAATCTATTTCTGGGAATATTTTTCTGTGAAGAAATCTATAGCTGGTAATATTTTTTTTCTAAAAAAATATATAGCTGTTTGTATTGCTAGTAATTTTTTTTTTTTTTTTTTTAAGTACTGCTGATAATAATTTTTCCTTCAAAAATTATTGCTGGTAATATTTTTTTTTTTATTACAAAGATTTGCCTATAGTTGGGACCCTAACAGGTGCTACCACCCCAGGTCAGGGTGGAATTGGGAACCCCAGCAATTAAGAGGTGATTCCATGCTCCTCAAAACCTCCTGATTGTCATACTCAGAACGAGAAAGAGAGATAGGTATAGACATAAAAATAAGTACAACATACCTGAGTATTTGGCTGAAAATGCAAACTGAATGATATCATCAAATGGTCCCTGATATTCAGGTGGTGGAACATCAAAGGATAATTTCCTTGAGCCTGCATGTCTCATGTCTATCAAATAGGCAGAGTGTACCATGGGGACCTCAAAACAGCCTCGTTTCTTCCACCGCACAATTGGTTCATAATCAGCTGTCCTTTCATAATAACCCTGAAAATAAAACAAGTACAAAGCTCACTGGATTTGATTTGACACAACAAAATCTTTCAAGATTAAATTGCTAGAAATAATGGTGACAGCAATATTAGCCGTTTCCTTATAAGGAAACACTTGGCACTCATTAAGCACGTGTATATGGTTGGCAGAACAGGGATTAAGAGAAGTAGCAAAAAGACAAACTTTGCTAAGAGCTACAAAGGACAGAAAGTTGTGGAGGCCCATGATTGCCAACAGATGAAGGGACATGGCATATTATTGACATCTATTACAGTAGTGTTGGCTGTTTGGTTGTTGGATGCCAAATATTTCCTTGCAAGGAAATAGTTAAATGCAGTGATCAATTTTGAGTTCTTCTGTAGTTTATTATTGCATATGGCAACAGGGGATCAGATTGCAATCAAAAGAGCCAAGGCTGCAGCGGGGAAAAGAAAGTCCAATGCAAATGAAAACCCAGATCAAATGCCATCCAGGAGAGCTCCTAATGCTGAGAATATGCAAAGACTTTCAAACTCCTGAATAAGTTGAAGGCCCAATCAAGAGCCCTCCACAAGCAGCTAGGTTAATTGCTGCCCAATAGTGCGGCGTGTGTGTGGGGGGGATGTAGAAATTCTTGGGATGGTATGCAGTTAGCCTATTATCAGTGATGGAATTCAAGTTTTTGATAAACCATCTAGAAGGAAAATTCCTATATAACACTCATCTCAGTGCTAATCCAGATATCACATATATACTTGTTTCTGGAATTATCAGCATTGTTGGTATGAGTTGTTGCAGTGTTGTGCAAGCTGTACACAACAATAATTCTCAGCATGAATATTGTACACACACTAAAATATATATATATATATATATATATATATCTATCTCAAATCCTCCTAATAATTTGTATCACTTATATATATGTCTATATTTCCGAGATGAGGTATTATATCCTCAAGGACACATGGCACAGTGGATAAAGGCGTTAGTTAGATCCAGTGACATGACCCAAAGAGTGTGAGTTCAATACCTGGTTAAGGCGGTGAAGAACTTGGAGAGGGAAATTAACAGGAGATAACTGATATCCATTAGACATGGCACATGGAACTAGAACAGCCTACCCCAGTGAACGAAATAAAGGGTTAAGTTCGACATTCCAATCACCTAAAGAAGGCCAGAGCATACAACGGCTGAAACATAATAAATATTTAGACAAAAGTGTAAATAATGTACACTTTATATATATATATATATATATATATATATATAAATAAAAGTGAACATTGACGTCAACATGCTAGAATCTGCTAATAATTGCTTCTGCATCCAATTCATCAGACAATTCCTTTTAAATGGATAGCAACATGTAGGATTCCAAATTCTCCTCAGAGAGCAAATTTCTTAAGATTGTCTTTATGATCTTTAGCTTTGAGAATGTCCTCTCACGTTGGACTTTAATAATTGATAGGGTACAGATGACTTTATGAAGTTCTCATTCCTTGTTATCCACTTGTAACCAGTCCCTCATTGTGTGTGTATGTATGTATGTATATATATATATATATATATATATATATATATATATATATATATATATATATATATATGAAGTATACTTTTAAGGTGTGCTATATTTATGGGATAAAGTGCTCAATATCAGAGATTGAGCATATGTAAATATAAAAGTGAACATTGAAGTCAACACTTAGAGGCGACAGGCTGTTTCATGCTAGACGATTTTTTATTTACCATTTTAGAAAGTTTGAATTAATTAGTAAATGTTAGTCAACATTCCAATAAACAATCTAAAGAATAAATAAATATTATTTTTGTTGCAAATTCTTAGGATAAAAAAATTGTATGAATTCACTTTCATCAAATTTTTAGGTTTATAACAATTCTAATCACTGTGTTTTGAAATAATAAACATTGTATTTGATATTCTGTTTCTTTGCAAGCATGAAGCTTCATGTTTGCAGCACCTTTTTTTTTTTTTTTAAATATACAGCAAACTTTTGTACACACCTATTGTGTGTGTGTGTATGTATGTAGACATTTTTATTCATTTACAATATATAAAGTTCTCTTTTATGTTTCCCTGACCAAGATGTCATAATGCCAGTAATCCTCTCATATGTTCAGACATCTGAAAAGTTGTAATCCAGATGGTACTGACATTGTTGAGTACTCTACTGCTATCAGCAGAAGTTGTAAAAGGTGGGGGGGGTCATATTTTTTTTGTCTTTTCTGATAGGAAATCTAACAAATAATTTTAAAAACTGAATATTTCTCACAGATTTTATATTTGGGTTGATTATAATATACAATATTACATTTTAGTTAAGAGATAAAAATAAAAAAGCTGTCATACTGACAAAATCTGGAGAGCCTCATAAAAAGCCTTGAATACTCACATGTTCATTGATTCCACACCAAAAGTTGGAATATAAGCTGTCGGTTGTAACATTTAACTGGGGAGCAATTATTGGCCTGTGAAATACAAAATATATAGTATAGAAAAGTGTACTAAAAAGTGTCAGACAAATAATAGACAGGTTTATAAACAAATAAAACAAAGACTTACAAGAAGCTGTTTCATTCACTGATTTGTTTTCTATGGGTTATCAACCCTTTGCAGGTTATTTAAAACCAGAAAATATTTTTCTTAGATCGTAAGATTTTTTTTTTTTTTGAGATAATAATGGTTTAGTGATACAAGTCTTAGTAATTTAAATCTCTGGCCATTTTTAGGTGCCTTTCTAACTATATGCATTGCCATTTGGATCAAATTTTTGAGTTTTGTACATGTAACATTTCGATCCTTGTACTCTCCAGCCATCTTTAGGTGTCTACCTTCATATTTGATACCCTTATTGGAATTTTCAAATAAAACTCTTTATTCAACCCCCAGGAATAGAATAGAAAATCATATAACAATAATTTCTCATCTCATAAATTCTGACCAAATTCATGAATTTACTGTTATAGATTAATTTCTAACCACTTGGCTGGCCTTAGGAAGCAGGCCAGCCAATCAATTGCCAACTTTATCGAAACAGATAAAAAAATTCTTAATCTTCAGCACAGTGTAGGTGACTATTTTCATCAAGCAAAATGTTAGTCCTGCCAATATCAAATTTTAATTTTTTGTTTGTGCAGCCATATCCTTCTATGGCAATACCTAAAACAATCTTGACTGAAATTGAGAGTTAGGCTACTACTACTAATATTTCAAATATATAGAACTAATTATATAAAACATTTTTAGGGGATTCCATATACAGGAAGTAATATTTATAAATGATGCAGAGGTGCTAAATGTTAAACAATATCAAGGCATTAATTGAGCAAAAGCAACATCTCCATGATAAAGAATGATAACATTAGGAGCACTGAGCATGGTTTTTAACCAGATTTAATCTGGAAAAAGATTTGTTTGAAATGAATAAACTGCCAGAATATTTTCATAATCACAAGTAATATCAATCAAATCAACCTTATAAAAAGTGGGGGAAGGTATGTTAATAAAACAAATAATATTGTCAATTGATACTAAATTTGATAGAGCTTTGATGTCATTAAAACAAACAAGAAAATTATAATAAAAAAAATAAAAACCATGAAAGTTTTTTGAGTAACAAATTAAACAGAAGAAATATGCAAACATGTGTTTATACTTAAAATAATGGAATAAACTGAAATTGTAAAATTGCACCCAAGCTAAAATTTCCAAATGTTAAATATGAACCCAAAATCAGCCAATGGTTGAGTGGCAAATGCATGCATATTGGTTTTGAAAGAAAACTTGTTTTAACTGTCACACTTCTCAATTTTCCAGTAAGTCTAGAATCTTACACGTCTATAAGTCTACCATTTGTTCATGCATTAAATATTGCTGACACATCTGGTCTGGTGCTTCTGCTATGTATTTAGAGCTTCTTGATTCTTCTTACAAAGAATCTGCAATGTTATCAGTCCTGGCATCTCAGCTTCAGTCACTTTCTTACATAGCTTGACCATGTCTTTTCTAACTAATAGTTTCATGGTGATTTTTCTGATGAGTTTTTTTCTATGGTACATAGACTTTAGGAATTTAAGCACAGTACTTGACTGGCAACTAGGTCCTATTATTTTTGTTGAAATGGTTAGATGCAACCATAAATTCTATGCTGTTTCTTCTCACTTGTAGAACTCTCTTCCAGAATCTTGCTTTCCAGTCAACTTTGTATTTAAATTTTTGAATATCAATGTCAATTGTTATTTTCTGTCTTCTTAATATCTGTTCTTTTATTGTTCTCATGCCATAATAATTTCTTTCTCTCACATTCTTTCACACTCTGTAACCCCTTGCATCTTAGTAGCCTTATTGCCTTGATTGGAGTGAAGTGATTTAAAAAAAAAAATTACAAATACACTCAAAGATTTTAAAATAAGATTTTAAATAAGGTAATTACGGATATTCTTGAATATCTAATGATATAACACACACACACACAAAGTTACAAGATAGAGATATGATTTATTTAATTACAGATAAAGTACAAAATCTATTTTAGAAAGTTTTTCTTTTAAATACTAAAGTCCTTCCCCCCACCCATAAAAATGAGGTATGTGATATGAATGCAAGAAGAGGCAAAAGAAAGTGATGATGATGAGGAGTAAGCAGGATAGATAATGATTGTATATTAACTTGAAGAGATTACAATTGGAATGCAGTGGAATCCTAGCTGTTAAGGTTTGAACTGGTATTTGATAATTTAAGTGTTAAAGCAAAGTTTCAATAACCATCAGATCTTATTAAAACAAAAAACAACCTTTATGAAAGCAGATGGCTAACATTCCCAACTTGCAAAATATCACCTGTAATTCCCCACCCTCTGCTTTGTGCTTCCATAAATCAGATCTCAAATCAAAGTTAGCCTTATTTAACAAATAACTATTACACCAGTTTATACAAGTTGTTTATACTACCTTGTTATATCTCAGGTAGGATTTATTTAACAAATATGGCAGAATTTTTGGCAATAACCTTTGTGCACACAAAAAAAATATTGTCTCAAAAGAATGGTTATTCCCTTGACACTGCTATTACTATATACACGTTTGACTTAATCAGCAATGTTTATGTCCAAGATTATAAAATTTGTTAACCAAACACAATGTGATATTTATTATTTACATTTTTTTTATAAAGAAATAAATTTGAAAATAAGTCTTTTTATTTGAAAATTTATAAAAATTACAATATTATCAAAATATTTAAACTAACTACAATGCAATATTCATTATTTACCATTTTATAAATAAATGTTTTTTTTTATTCCTAATTTTAAAAAAAAATGATCTATGAACTTTAGAACAATAAAATTTAAACAAATACATGATTTTCCAGACATATATTTTCTTCCTAATTTTATATCTCAGATTACTTTATTAAAAAAAATTGAAAAATTAATACATCATAATTTAGGATTAAGGATGCCTAATCAACAGAAATCCAAGGCATGAAACCAGCAATTATAGGTTACCCCACTTACTACTCTTTTTTTTTTTTTTGAAAAACATAATTTGAATTTTCTTTTAATTTTTCAAAACATGCTGAGAAAATCTTCTAATAGATTATTTATAAGAATTTTTCTAAGGAATCTGAAATGAAGAGTTGACACTAAGCACATCTTGACTAAAAGCAATTGTCAAAGCTGGCAAAACAAGTTAATTGCCAATCAATTCAAACTTTATGAAATGGTAAATGATAAAGATTTCATTATAATTGGTTTGGATATTTTTATGAATAAAAAAAAAAAATTATTCAAATTTATTTCTTTATAAATCAGTAAATAATAAATGTTGCATTATAGTTGATTTGCATATTTTTATGTTTTAAATCTAAAATTATTCTTGGAACTAAACAATCAAATAAATTGTTTAATATTTTTGTTGTTAATTCACAAGAAACAAGAAAATGTATAACTCACTTTCATATGTTTGGGTTTTATTAAAATTCAAATCATCACTTTTTACATAGATACAGTAATAGTAAGGTCAAAAGGAAAAAAAAAAAAACATTGTTTTGAGAGACTTTCTTTAGAAAGAAGCAGATACCAAAATTTGAATTGCACATTTAATGTGTGAAGAAATTTAACACATACAGAATTAATTTGAATACATTTTTGTCTTTTGCAAGAAAATTAATGCCAAATACCAATTTCAGAGCTGTGCCTAGAAGGTAGAAATTTGTTTTTAATGCTATGTCAATTGAGGACATAAGCAACCATGGCTCACCACATGTTCCTTTTCTTTATTACGAGTGAATTGTCTTGACTTTTAGGAAAATTAAATATCAGATTAAAAAAAATTGAAATCCATTCATTGTTTAGAAACAAGTAATCTTAAAATATGTTTTTTTCCTATATCTCTATGGTACTAATAAAATATATAAAATTTTCAGATAGTGTATCAGTGAAGGAACAAAATGAATAAAAATTATGGCACTTTTTGTTCTCCATGTTTTGACATCCTTGCTCTTGAATATAAACACTTGCAACAAAATAAACCCTTAAATCTACGTTGATAGTCATGCAGAGGATGAAACATGTTAAATAGAATAGTTTATTTAAATGTAATATTCTAATTCTTTTCACACCCAGTAACCCCTAGTAGCTTTATTGCCTGGCATGGGGTGAATTTGATTAAAATACACACACACGTGTGTGTGTGTGTGTATATATGCCCAAGTATATAATTGGTGTATACAGAATAAATTCCAATAACCAACAATTACTATTCTTAAAAGAGTGCTCAATACAAAGTAAAGCAGATATAATTATTTTTTTTTTTTAAATTTACAACATAAATATGTTAAAAAATTTATGTTTGGTCAAATATTATTAATACAAGGTTTTATACTATTTAAGTCATATATATATATATATATATATATATATATATATATATATATATATAAAAATTTATAACATAAATTTTTAAATTTTTAAATATATATATATATATATATATATATATATATATATAATCGACTCTCCCGGCAAGATTCGACATATGAGGGTCAGGCAGATAAGTCCCCAGGAAACCGACATCCCGACACCGGCACATGAGATTTGATTATAGTGGTGAAGGCCTCGTGCAGGACCAGCCACACTTTTTTGAAGGGACGAATACAGAAACCTGGTGCACCGAATGCATGCCACAAGGTTCCCAAACGACCCTCCGCAGGTTTTGAATTCAGAGTTGTCCTTCTCTAGACCAGTTGCCATCCAAGGCTATAGAACCCAGTCTGTCCTGCTATTTTACCCATAGCTGAGGGAGATGAAGAGGATACATACCTTTCCCAAGGGTATTAGCACGAAAGTGAATGTAAATGATGGATTCGACTGGAATTCGAACTTCGGCTCTGCGATTCCTCAATGATTTAAATATCCACTGCTCCACTCCTTTGTCCCTAAGTCATATATATATATATATATATATATATATATATATATATATATATATATATATATATATATATATATATATATACTTTACATAGTGTAATAACCTTGTATTAATGATATTTGACCAAAAATAAATTGAGGGTTAGGTTTATTATTGTTATTATATAATAAACTAATCATCTCAGAATTACTGGTGCAGTTAAACTGAAAAGAAAGTCTTTTAACACTTGAAGGAACGCAAATGAAGTTTAGCAGAAAGATGCTGAGAATTCCATGGATCAAAAACAAAGTTTTAGAGAAAATGGAAACAAAAATGGACACATCAGGGAAAAGACAGTTGCAATGTTCAGGGTACATAATGAGGAAAGCAGGCTTGGAAAATTTGATACTCAGGTGTAAGGGTTAGAGGAAAACAATACATAACCTACCTAGTGAGCTTGAGTAAATCGATGACAGAACAGGTTTTAAGAGAGATAACAAAAAGATGAAATTTATTAAGAGCTACAAAGGACAGGAAATTGTGGAGAGCCATGATTATCAACATCCCGAAGGGACTTGGTACATAGAAAAACTTAAAAATGTACTTATGAAAAAAAAAAAAAAACTAATACTAGTAAGGTCTTAAAAGATGCTGTAAAGTTGGGGCTAGGGAGACTAGTAATACTACAAGATTCTGCTGGATATAAAGTGGGGGTTCGATTTGCTAGTAAGTGATAAAATAATCCCTCAGAATTACTCTATAATAATTAACAAAAATATATTTAAAAACTCACAGGTGAAAACTTCATAATAATTTAAGGCCTTAGCAAAATATGATGTAATTTTTGTTGGTTACACTCAACTAGGATCAATATGAAATTCTCTCTTACATAAAGTGAGGGATCAGTTTTCTGTCACTATAAACCAATGCTTTTTGACATCAAATTACTATTAATAGAAGATTCTAGTGGATATAAAGACAGGGTTGTTTTTTCTATTATTATTATTAACCTTTAACATTCTGGAGGTGAATTTGCTTGTAAAGCAAAAATTTTATCCTGCCACTGCAAGTGACTCAGATGAATGAATAAGAGTGTTTGAATTTTGCAGTTGTGTTGTCATATCCCACTATGGCAACAGAAAATGACCATGACTGAAATTTAAGTAGTGCTGTAGAGGAGCCTTGAAAAACAATGCAGTGGAAAGGAAAGTAAATAATGCAGTGTGCTAAAGATTAAGTAATAAACTGTTCCCCCCCACTCTTCAAATTACTACCTATCAATATAATATTCAGAAAAATATATTTAAAGACTGACATATGAAAAACCTCAAATAACTGTAAGATTATAACAG